AGCGGGTTGATGATTGAGTAGGGATAGAGCAAGAATGGTGACATACCTGGGTTGAAGGGAAGATGTGCCGTGTATCGCGACGACGATAGCAATACGCTATGGCATGGCCAATCTGCTTGCAAAATCGGCAATATGGGCGAAGACGAAAGGGCCGACGTCGCTTGGGTCGTACATATACCGGTGGCTGTAGTCCAGGGACATACCGGGCATGGGAACTCGCTGAAGAATGATGGTGATCCATTTTGCCGAAATGCGTACGTGACAGCGTCGATCTGCTGTATGGATGGACTGATGAACCGGGATTCTGCATCGTTCTCAGGTCCTCATGGGTTTAGAAACGCGGTGGGGGCCAATTAACGGTGCTTTCCGCTCATCGTTCGAGGCTGCCATCAATGTAATAGGTACTAACAACGAGACTGACGACAACGATTGACTAAGGATGGTAACAACATAACAAGACTGAAGTTGCGTAAACAGATCTACAGGGACGAATTCACGCACCGCTGCCACCAGTGTAATAGGTAGGTTCGAATCTTACAAAGGAACGTCGTTAACTTTAACCACCGCTGCCACCAATGTAATAGGTCGCCGAGTGGTATCAGGAGGCACACACAAGAAGACTGACTAATATTATGTTATTCGGCTCAATCTGCCTGAAGTTATGTATACAACTGCTCCGGCTCAATCTGCCTGGAGGGACTCGGAAAGGAATACAACTGCTCCGGCTCAATCTGCCAGGAGGGACTCTGTTCTGTTCTGTTATGTTATGTTCTGCTCTGAAGAAATGAGTAAAGCATGGCAGCTTTTATAGGGCGAAAAGGAAGGAGATCATCATAGAGTCTGCATGAGCCATGAGTCATGAAAAAGGGCAAAAGTCTGTTGTGTCAGTCCAAACAGAACTTGGGAAGGCATAGCAACAGTATCTAAATGTATAAGGATGAAAGAAGCAAACGGAACTTTGGAGGAGAACAGAGGCCAGGGAGGGCATTGGCAAATGGATGCAAACAGGATCTAGAAAGGGTCATGACTGTCCGCATGACCTCAGCCAGGGTCAGGGAGGTTCAGTACAACATGTGGGTGTTAATTCTACATGTACATACAGGTGTGATGATCTAAACTAGCAAAGATATGTAGTATGCAATCCAGCAAGCGCAAGGGAAACACAAGTGGTGAGAAGTGATATAATTAGCTTTGCAGGCTTGTCAGCAAAGGAGTGACAAGAGTCATGCCGTGCGTGTACGTGTACATGTGACATGATTAGAGGTAAAAATAGATGTAGATGTAGTAGTCAGCTACAGTTCAGTACTATCAAGGCAGGGATACTACACTAGCGCCAGTACATGGGAACATTGCCAAGGCATTGGTGCATGGTGCACCCACACTGTCATTGTACATAAGTAGTGTACTACATAACCATCATAACTTAAACTGTCTGTAAACATGACATTTTGCTCCACATTACGTCATTAGACTACAAAATACAGCCACGGGCTACGGGAGAGTACAGACTACGTAGTATCATAATAATACATGTCCTCGCTCTAGCCTGCTCACCACTGCTCGGAGCATACACCCTGATACACAGACGAGATCAGCCATGCACGTCCGTCGCACAGTCAGTATACTACTAGTCAGTAGCCGGACCCTCTGTAGTGACTGTACTGCTGTGTACTGTGTAGATCACGATGATTGTGACGTGTACATGACGGTGATTGTACAAGCCGAAGCATGTAGCAGTGTAGACATGGCGTCATGGGACTGTACCCACCGGCGGGGCTAGCTGTAAGTCACAGTGTAACGGTTAAACATACTCACAAGTGATAGATCTACGCCGAGTCATCACTCGACATCAGTGTCAGGTCATAGTACTCATACTACTATTGAGTATTGGCAGTATTGCACTGGAAGATCGATATGCAGAGCTGACTTCTGAGTGACTGACGATGTGTGGCCCTGTGAGCATGGCCCATGGGGAGTACGTCGTCGTGGAGTGTGACCATGGTGACTCCAGAGTCAAAACCAACCAACCAACAGAGTCCAGCCATCGTCATAATGCACGTACGTGTAGATCTACGACTACGGCAGTCGAGTCTGTGCCTGACACCGTACTATGCACTGCACTGCCAGTCGATCTACTACTAGTACAGTACTAGTACTACTGTAGCGGACATGGAAATCCAGTCGATTGACCGGGGCCGGCGCCCTCAGCGCGTACAGAACGCTGCGTGCAGTTCACAGTCCAGTCATGATGATCCGATGCGACCAGCACGCTGCAGCGCATAATGCAGCGTCCCTGGGGCCGCTAGACGTGCGACCGGATTTCCATGTCCACGACAGTAGTAGACCTACTAGTAGTAGATCTGATTATGTTAGATTGACAGCATGAACCATGAACCAAGGTGGAGGACCTTACTACAACCTTCCGCGGTTGGCAGAGCCCAGGTCCCTGCGGACCATCTGAACCATATGAGTGTTGAACCCAGTTCTGACCCTCATTATGCGAGGGGGGTTGGAGACTACTCCTTACGTCCGTCGTGTATTCTTTGATCGCTCCTGGATGTCGTCCTGGTAACTGTTAGGCATGTACATTGTAGCTACTTAATCCTCAACTTCTTTTCTTCCACGAATTACTTCTGCCCATGGCGTCCTTCTCTCAGCTCGTCAGCTGTCAACAGTTACTGCCACCACCATGACACTGTCGCGAGAAGGTGATCTCTGTGGACGGGGCTGGTGATGTCCCGACGTGGCCATGGGTAGACCTTCACCACGTCGGAACACACACGACAGGTGACGAGCTGAGAGAAGGACGCCATGAGCAGAAGTTGGAAGAAAAGAAGTTGAGGTTTAAGTAGCTACATGACTACCAGGACGACATCCAGGAACGATCAAAGAATACACGACGGACGTAAGGAGTAGTCTCCAACCTCACCCCCCCCCCCTCCCCTAGCATAATGAGGGTCAGAACCGGGTTCAACACCCATATGGTTCAAATGGTCTGCAGGGACCAGGGCTCTGTCAACCGCGGAAGGTTGTAGTAACTTAAAAGTAAGGTCACTGTTTCCGAACACAGTGTCCTCCACCTTGTGTCATGCTGTCAATCTAACAATATGGGTGAACTATAACAAGGTTTATCTAATTATATAGTATTGGGTTATAGTATTGGGTTATCATCTCTATTCTTTTGAACAGCGCACAAATCTTAAACTCTATGTTTTCGTGTACCGCTGCTTGACCCCACATCTTGCTAGTCCCCTTCTCCAATCCTTGTTCCAGCTTAGGGCTGCTGTGCCTGGACACCAGGCTCGCACGCGCGGCCAGGCACAGCGCGCATTAGTTCTTCCGCCTGTTTCTACGCAATATGGCATGCGTTCTATTTCTTTCCTGGCGGCAGACAGATGGAATGCTCTTCCCACTGACTGCCGTCAGGCCCCGTCTCTTACTCTGTATGTAAACATGGTAAAAATTCACCTAGGGTTCCCAGTAAAAAGGCAACGCCTGTTGGGACTCCCCTAGTAAAATAATAAAATCTACTACTACTACTACTATTGGGTTATGATTATAACAGTAATAATAGTGAGGTTTTGCATTCCGAATTTCGGTTCGGCATTCTTCGGTCATTTGTCGAACATCAAAATGCCGAATTTTCGCACCAACGTTTGTTTTGCAAGTCGAAAATGATGTGTTTTCATTTCGTGAGCCCCAGCATCAGCAATGTCCTGTCCCGTGCTCCTTTTCTTGCTGATTCCAACGAACTTTGATCGCCCAAAGAGTCGAGGGCCAAACCTGCCTCCCCTGTCGCCTCAGAAAAACCAACTCCATGGCCAAGTCAAATTTTATGCGTATCGCCATAGTCTTTTCAGCCACACAGATGACGGTGAGGATACTCCAGGCGAAAGAGAGTAGACAGGCAGTGGAGAGGAGCAATCAGAGGTAGCTGACGATGCTGATGTCGCCAAAGACGGAGGCGAAGCGATGCTGAGATAAGAAACCTCTTTGAATAAATCACGCGCTAGCGCTCTTCTACAAGAAGATTCATCCGAAAAATATTTTCGGCAAAGTGAGCTTTTTCCGAACAAACATGCCGAATCTTCGTGTGCATTTTCGACCTCGCTCCCGCGTGCCGAATCTTTTTGCCGAATTTCGGAATGCAAAACCTCACTATACCATAGTAGTTTACCTGTACCGTAAAATCGACATGGTGCGACATGGTGCGACATGGTGCGACCACAGAGTCCGTCCGTGAACACGTTGGTCACACCAGTGCAGTGCTAGTGCCCGTAGGCCATGGTACTGGTAGACTAGTGAGTAGTGGCAGTCCGGCTTGCACTAAGTCTTGCACAGTTGCAGCGCGCTACTGCTACTGCTACTACTAAGTACAGTAGTAGTACTAGTGCTACTACACGTATGTACTAGCAGCGCACACGACGTAGATCTACTGTCTACACATGTACAGACAGTGTAGACAGTAGCTGGCAACTGAAATCCGACACTCCCCCCTGAGCGATGCGCTCACATCGCGACGACCGCGATCGTGAACCCACCACTCAGGGGTCGGATTTCAGTTGCCAGCGCTGTATGTACTGGGCAGTCTGGGGCTGTACTGTGTAGTACTACAGACTTACCCATGGCATGGCGGACCTGCACGTGCCCCTGTACATCACTCATCATATGCATATCAGCGATTCAGCGGACCTGCCTTGTTATCATGTGTGTTGTCCTAGCTGGATCGACGCAGCGTCTATGTAAGTGAGTCCTTCCTTGTTTGCTAGCGCCTTCAGTGCATCTGATGCATGGGGAGTTTCTCGTGTTTGCCACCAAGTCCCAGTACTGACGTCGATCAGGTGCCGACATGTGACTTGAGAGAAGAGTGAGAATGTTACAAAGCTACTGCGCGAGTCATCACAATGCATGATTGTACAAGTCCAGGCATTTGGCATTGACGAGTTGCAGAAGTATCCGTACCGACTGCCGATCCATGGCCACTGATGATACTTGATAGCAATGCAGGCTGTTGAGTGTTGCTACTGACTGTACTGCTGCATCATGTACATACATGTGTCCCTGTGCTGTTCAACACATCATTGCCAAGAATCCCCTGCCAAAACTGGCAACAGCACGGCTTGGATCGAGGCGCATAGGAAATTCGTTTTTGGGTAGATTTGCTTGTCGTTCTGTAGCTGCACTCAGCAGCACTACCAGCTTCAAGCCCATCAGTGCATCACGACACCAGTAGCGTAGCCTAGGGAAGGCTGCCGAGCCTGAACCTCAAACAAATATCGTCTCCCCAAACCAACTCTCATAGCTGGCCGCCCTTACTGCGCTGATGGAGGGCAGGTTAGCCAGCCAGAATGGATCGCTTCTGGCCAGCGGTGGAGAGGCTCAAGCGACCAGCAGCGTTGTACACATGCGACAGGATTCCGAGCAGGAGATGCACGCGTTGTTCGAGGCCTTGGTCAATCCAGCTAAACAGCGCAGTGTCCCCATGAAGGATAGGGATCTGCCCAGCTCCTTCTTTCGTCCGCAGAGCACCAATGCTATGGCGAGCAACTCGAACAGTGGCAACACGGTCTCGCTGAGCTCAGCACAGCACAGCAGGGATAACAGCATGGACTCGAACATGCAACAGCAGCAGCAGGATATTGGTTCGGCGGTCGAGCTGCGTGGTGTCCACGGGCATGGTGCTCACGTTGGACACAGTCGCTCAGTGTCCCTGCCTGCCCAGTCTCTGTACGGAACGCAGTCAGCCAGGGTGGGTGAGCTGCCCATGGCCACACAGCAGGGCAGCCTGGATGTTGGTGATCGAGCACTGGGACCAGGATGGGAGGAAGCTTTGAAAAGAGAGGGAAAGGCAAACTACATCAAGTGAGTGCTACAAATTTGGGCACTGTTATGCACTGTTATGCACTGGCACAACACGCAACTTACTTAAAATTTACCAGTAAAAGCAAGAAAGTGATGAACTGATAAGTCCTGGAATGAATTTTTTATCTAATAGTGTTCTGAACACTATCCAGAAAAGCCAAGCCAATACCTAGGAAAGTGCATAAGTAATCACTGCAAAGGCAAATTCTGTCAGTACAGGAAATGGCGAATTATTTGTATATCAACAAAAAAAAGTATGGCCGTTTCTGGATTTCAAAAATGATCAATAAAAAGTATGGCCTTTACCTACGCAAAATCTCGTAAAGGCACATTCTTGTTAGACTGATTAGATGGTGTAAAACTGTTACAAAACTGTTACAACATGATGGGAGTATTCGGTGACAAGCTTGCAAGAACAAGCCAGGCCTTTGTAATTAAAATTATTTGAAAAGTACAAAGTAAAAGCTATCATAGTTTAACACACGGAGCACAGAAGCCATATACAGTCAAATTCGCTAATAACGACTGCGGATATAACGACAATTCGTAAATAACGACAGAATTTCCATGCCCAGAGCAAAGTCCCATGTAACTGTGATACATAATTATAATGAGACTTCGGGTATAACGACACTTCGCGAATAAGGACACTTCTCTGATGCCCCGCCGAGTGTCGTTATACGCAAAGTTGACTGTAAGTAGTTTCGACTAGGGCTTTCGTACCAATAGTTTCAAGTCGAATACGATGGTCATTAACACGGCAGCAAGCAAGTCCTTATAACCGGCACTGGTACGAAAGGCCCAGACAAAGCTATTATGTCTTCTGTGCTGCGTATACTGATTTGTTTCCTTCTAACCAAGAATCTATTCTATCATGGTTTAGTTGTCATCAGTTGAGGGAGTTGACGGCTTAGTAATGTTATACTATTTAAGTTCATTGCCTCAACAGTACAACGTACAAATATCAAGAGGGACGACTGAAAAAGAGAAATGAAATGAAACAGAGGAGAAAGGGGAAAAAACGGAGGGGGTGGGTGGACGTGGAGGATTCCTAAACCAGTACTGCAATCAGTAAAGTCAATATAGCACGCAGCACATTGTTATTTGATCCTGAGATATTCCTGTGCATGCTGCAGCCACACAATTCACCACCGACACATTGAAGTCAGACTCAAACCAAAGGTTGGCAATCAGTTCAAGAGTTACCGCATTTCGGGAGTATAAGACACACCTGAGTATAATGCGCACCCCCCCCCCCCCTTTAGTAACGATTTTGGCAATTTAAGGTGTATCTGGAGTATAACGCGCAGGCTGGATTTCAGAGCATTGTCGATCGTAAAGACAGTACCTTAGTGTGACCATTGTCAGAATTTACCACAAGATTACTAATTTGTACAAAGAGAAAGACCAAGGAACTACAAGTTACGCTATACTGTCCACTAACACTAATATGTACATGTGTATAATGCATATGCTACAGGGGGGGTCTCACATGCATCATGCATCAGCAGTGTAGCTGTAGACACTGGAAAAGTCATGCACACATATGGCTTGCCCAGGCTGAGCGGTGGCAAACTTCTCAACAATTTGATGCATTGCATTACATTTCGAAGTACATGTATACGTACGCGCATTTTCATATCCTGAGCATAGGGCGCACCTGAGATTTTGGGATTGATAATTATAGTACATCTAAAGTATGCACTAGACTCTGGCAAATACATATGGGACTGCCCTATTATGGGACTGCCCTATTAAAATATGAATAAATAATAACAAATACAGTAACTTGATATAGACATTGGTCAGTGGGGCTATTGGTGGGCGATGGCTGCGTGTAGCTGCGTGTAGCTGCCCAGGTTTGTACTAGTGCACCATGCGTGGCCTTGGTGGCATTGTTCAGCCTCAATTATTGTCTTTTTGACAGAGGATGCCCAGGGGTTCACTAGGCTTTGACGAGAGCCCAGGCACATAAGCACACACACGCACACACACACACGGTGACAGGAGTGAGTGAGAAGACAGTGGTGCAGGTGGTGGTGGTGGGGGGGGGGAGCCTCGGGAGAGAGAGAGAGAGAGAGAGAGAGAGAGAGAGAGAGAGAGAGAGAGAGAGAGAGAGAGAGAGAGAGAGAGAGAGAGAGAGAGAGAGAGAGAGAGAGAGAGGTGAGAGAGAGAGAGAGAGAGAGAGAGAGAGTGAGAGAGCGAGAGAGAGAGAGAGAGAGAGAGAGAGAGAGAGAGAGAGAGAGAGAGAGAGAGAGAGAGTGAGTGAGAGGGAGAGAGAGAGAGAGAGAGAGAGAGAGAGAGAGAGAGAGAGAGAGAGAGAGAGAGAGAGAGGGAGAGAGAGGGAAAGGGGGGGGGGATGGATGGATAAGGCCAGGAAGATCCATGGAGTTATGCCACCTGGTGTGTGAAGAAATAGTCCTCATTTCCATAAGTGCAGGTGCTGCAACTCCCAACGCGTATGTTTAGCGGCACGTGTGGCAAGTCTGCAGGAAGAAACGTTTCAAAAGAAGAATGCATAGTTATGTTGTGTATAACAGTTAGATTCAATTTACATCTTTAGACCCAAAAAACTTCCCCATTGCCCGACGCATAAAATGTCCCTTGGTACACCAGTAACTGCATTACTCAGCTTCCCAGACCAGGCTTGTATTAGTTGTAACGGATATTGAATATTGTACAGGGGTGTGTTGCATGGCTTGTAGGGCAAATACTGCAATGCCATTCGCTGATGAATGGCGGCAGCTAGTGGCCTGAAGTACACCACTTCTATGAATGCACTTGGGAAGTGATTTTCTGTGCGCCAGGGCACAACCAGTTTGCACGTTCCTGCAGATATTCTCACCTTTTTTTCCTGATCACATGGCCAGTGCATAGCCATTGCTGGGTCATGCTATTTTCCGCTACACTCCAGTGCACAGATGGAGAGTATTTGTGTGGCAGTGATCACACATGTGACCTGTACGTGCTGTTTGTCCTATCTGCTTCATGAATTTGGAAGCTGAGCAGGCCTACACGCCCCAGGTATAATAATAGTAAACACTCCACTAGTGTATGGAGGTTGTGGAATATATCAGCGTCAGTGGATTTGTGCTGAATGCGGCAACTAGCACGGGAACTGATACTCTGTACTAAGCATACCCGATGATGTCATCCGTCAGAATGATGTCATCAGTTGAAGTGGTTTGCATGGAGTGGCTTCGTAAGCATGTGTGATGATGTCATTCGCCTGCAGGTAGGGATGCGGTAGTTTGCATCAGTTCCTATTGTGTTCTGATGTCGAATGGTTTTTTTGCTGTGCTGCATGAGGAACTGCGTCCAGTAGGATCAGCAATCCGCACCAGACAACCTGTCGTTCAGCAAGGCAATACTTACTGGTGGGGCCATATATAGCCAGCTTGGGCTGGACAGTGGTTGGCTGTTCCCGTGACAACACCCTTGTGACATACTCCAGTGTATTGCAAGACTCTATGCTGTTCATGACATGTGGAAAAGTGGCATGCCATGTGAGCAGGGGCACAAGTGGGCATAGTTTGTAGTGCTGAGGGTATCATGTTCAAACCCCGCCACAGGATCAGGATAATCAATAGACCAATCCCGAAAAGATTGTCTGGGTTCGAAAGGGGGCATGTCACCTGAGAGTACACGGTAAAACACATACATGGCACTACCTGATCAGCATGCAGCCCAGGATATGTTTGATAGTTTGCGTGTGAATGCGGGGGTAAGTACACGATCTTCTCGTTAGTTGCATGCAAGAGAGACGATCCGACAGAAAGCAAATCTCTGTGTGGGTTTCTCCCTCGCACTGATAATGTTCTCCTGTTGGAGTCGAAATGCTAATCCATAATCCTTGTTTCGCTCTTCTGTGTAGTGTGAAGAGGTCAACGAACATGTAGAGCTCACCTTGATGAAGTAGGCAAAGCTGTGAGCGCTATGGATCAAAGCGATAGGCCCTAAATCTTACGAGATATTTCGAGCGCTATTGTTTGTTGCGAGCGCTTCGTCTTCGATGAGTCCTGCCTCTTTCCTGGCAGCTGCCCTCCTATAGGACCAACCACGAAGTGACTGTACTCATCTGCAGCCGATCAATGTTGTACTGCGCAAGAAGATTGCGTTTTCGCCAAGCCAGTGCCCCGCCAAAGACCATCGCCATGTCACACCGTCGGAACGAGTTCATGATGAGAATCATCATTCGCGCGAGCTTGATGAAGAACTATTTCGAAAGACAACATAGTCTCTACCCCCGGGACGACAACTATGCGCAGGTCCTGGAAGGGGAGAATGTCTCCAGCGATAAGAACGAAGACGACGGCGGTATTTCGGCAACCTGGAGTCAGCGGAGTTCGTCAAGCTCTTCCGCCTCCGCAATCCGGTACATGTGCAGTGGGTGACATGTCGCAGTAGGTGACATGTCGACACGAGCGTGCGGGAACACAGCATACACTATAGTACTGTTGCGAGAGTTTGCGGAAGGAGTCCAAGTCGGGAAATCCATCAGCTCCAAAAGCTACCTGTAGGTGGGCGATGAGACTCCAGCTTCAGACTACAACAGTCAGGACTTGTAAATAGTTGAACTTTGTGAAGCAGCAGATCGAGAAGTTAGTTGAAATCTTAGCTGTTGCAGTATGTCGGCGCTATGTAGCTTGTATTTTTTACGGAGAGTCGATCGCCACGCGAATGTTTCTCTCCTCACCGAGAGCTAGATGGCCTCCAAACTCCATCAGGGCCTGCCTAAGGTACCGAAGGTCCTTTGACTAGCTGCTGGCAGGACTCCATCAAATCCTTTAGCTTCAGCTCGGCGAGCAAAAGTCTCTCTCTCCTCCGCCACGAGCTGACACACACAAACTGAATACAAAACGATGCACTTCACATGAGCTGGCTTGCACGCGTGCCCCCTTTCACGAACCCAGACAATCTTTTCGGGATTGGTCTATTGCTAATAACCTCTCCTCCGCTCAGCCGCACTTCACGCCTTACAGTGGTTATGATGCCCAACACGTTGAGATACAGTGGAACTGGGATAAGACGTACACCCTCGGGAAGTGGGAAAAAGTGCGTAGTATTTGAGGTACTTCTTATCCAAAGTTGACTCCTGCGGCCCCACTAATACCATACATACGCAGTATGTGAACATGTATTGCACTCAGAAATGTACCTTGTTAGTGCCACCAAGCGCCTTGATGGGTGAAGGTGCATGAAAACACCAAAAAGTACGTAGGATGCAAAGCTAGGTCTCTTGGGAACAAGTATCAGGGAGGGTCGGTGACTGGTTGCGAACCCGTACTCGAAATGAAATCGATTTCACTTCGTGTATGAATTGTGTAATGCATAAGAGGTTAAGTGACTCGCGAACAAGGTGCGCTTTGATTTCCATGGTAACAGCCCGGACTCGTGTCAACGAATCCGATCTACGGGATCTTTACGGAATTCTAACCCAGACCCCTGATCCATTGACTCGTCTCGTACAAGACAAACGAGTCTCTGAACCCCTCTACTCAGTAAGTTTGAGAGACAGAAGCATTAGGGATTTAGGTGAGGTTCTCAAACTCTACGTGTGCGTGTGTGTCCTTGATATCTTGTGTCATCTCTTAGTCACATGCTGGGTGAGACTAACTGGAACAATCCTGGTCAAGAGCATGATAGTCGGGGTAGAGGCGGCAGTTTTCACCAGCCGCAGCAGCAGGCCACACCGTTCTTCACGCCCACGCAGGATGCGCGAGCGCTGAGCGACATTGTCCACAGTCATCAGTTCTCGGCGCCTCACATGCACACCTCATACCCCAACAGCGGTGAGACGCGTGCCCGTGCCGCTAGCATGCTAGACCCTCGTGGTGTTGCTGCAGGCCAATCCATGGCCGTGAACCAGAAACTGCTCCAGCAGAAGCGTCTTGAGGATGCAAAACGCCTAGAAGAAGTTCAACAACAGCAACAGCAGCAGCGCCAGAGAGGTGTGCAGCGGATGAGGCAGTCGACCAGTCCCGGTCTCGGTGCGTTCATGGGCTCGCCAAGCAATCAATCCTGGCAGTACTCGTCCGGCGTAGCATCACCTGGCACGTCGGGTGGCAACGTGATGACAGCGCACATGAGAGATGCATCGGGCGACTCCGCGTACGGCCTACAGGACATGTCGCTGGGAGGGGGACTGTCGGCGGCGGCGCAAGGCCAGCACGATCTTCACCCCGGCTACGTGCCAGGCGGTGGTGGCGGCGGCAGTTTGCAGGGCCGAATGCAGCAACAACAGCAGCAGCTGCAGCAGAGTGTGTATCAGCCGGGTGAAATTCCCAGCGGCGGCGGTGCTGCCGCTGGCTTGTCACAAGCACAACACCATGCACAACACCATGCACAGCAACAACAGCAGCAGCCATTCATGTCCAGTCAGATAGGCGGTGCTGTGTCGCAGAATCGTTTCGCCGGGTCGGGCTACTCGTCTCCGTCCAACATGCAGGACAGCCTTGTGTCCGGTATGGGTGGCAGCGCTGACCAGACTTCCGCAGCCGCCATGCAAATGGACATGGGAGCTGGAGTCGGTGCCGCTGGTAGCCTTCAACCAATGATGATTGATGCAACGCTGGACAGCAACCGCTTTAATGTCGGCTATGGCCAGTCGCAACTAGGTCAGATGCCGACCGAGACGGCTATGATGCCACATCACGGAGCAACCTATTTATGATATTGTCTTCTTGCCGGTGCGCGCGTGTGTGTGTGTGTGTGTGTGTGTGTGTGTGTGTGTGTGTGTGTATGTGTGTGTGTGTGTGTGTGTGTGTGTGTGTGTGTGTGTGTGTGTGTGTGTGTGTGTGTGTGTGTGTGTGTGTTAGTGTGTGTGTGTTAGCATGCATGCACATTTGTGTATGTGCGTGCATGTGTGTGTGTGTGCACGTGTGTGTGTGTGTATGTTGTGTGGCCCTGTGGATACTGATTGTGACTATACACAACAAGAAGAGCATTTCGCTCACAGCTGCGCTATTGCCTTGCCAAAGCCGCCCGGAGTTCCATTACACATGCTGTCCCTCTGCTTCACAAACCGGAGGGATGGAGCTACAAAGGTACACACGCACTGGTATCGCTATCTGCCTGGACGTCAGTGCTGCCAGTCAGGCAACCAGTTGCCGGCGCTAACTTGATATGATCATACTGCTAGAATTGCCTGTTGCCAACTCATTGACGACATATTGACGACTCAGTATAGATGAGTGAAATGATGAGTGTTCCCCTCCTGCCAGCCAGGACACTTTATTATAACTAGTAGAGTAAAATTATGTTAGCAGCCAATCTGCAAAGCATACTCCTATACCTATTTTGAGACTAAAAAATATTCTTTGCTCTCGTGCGAAAGCCGCCCGCCCACACAAGATTGTCAGTATCATTGCGCAATCCGCCTCCTCCATTCTCCTTCTGTGAACACGTGTTTCCGTTATTACCCTCCCATTCTTTTCCGTCTCTTCATCAAGTTTTTTTTATGGTTAAGGTAGAATTTAGGTCAATTTAGTGTAGATTTACAAGCTAGTAGGAATATTTAGCGGCCATTGCACTCCATTGTTTTCATTGTCCTGCAGTTTGAACTCTTTTATTCTCACGCAGTTGTTGTTGTTGTTGTTGAAAACAAACTTTAGCAATAGCTGTTATTTGTAATGACAACTTGCAGGTAGCTTCAGTTCTGCCCTGCCTCCCCCCCCCCCCCTCTAGCCTGCTCACATAGGTCAGTTAGTGCCTCTAGTGTTGAAGCCTTTAGGTATGATCTTCCTCTTATCTATGAGACAATTATACTACATAATCATTCATTATGGAAGCAGCAGCAAGCCAACAACACCTCTCACACAGGAGTGGGGTTGCAACTAACATTTCGGACTCGGATTTTAGTGCCGTGTGGGGTGGTATGTGGTGGTGTAGCCTCTGCTCATGCTGTTGTGTTTTCGTGTCTGGGTAAGTGGAATGCAAGTCCAATGCATGCTGATTCATTATTGTTTGAGAGAGACAGAGGCAGAGAGAGAGACAGAGGTTGCCTACGTGAAAGTCGAAGTTGCAAGTTGCCTGATGATCGTGACTACTTGATACTCGGAGTTGCAAAATAACAACTTCTCTCTCTCTTCCCTGATAATGGTGGCTACGTGAAACTCGGAGTTGCAACCCAGCTTCCTCTCTCTCTCTCTCTCTCTCTCTCTCTCTCTCTCTCTCTCTCTCTCTCTCTCTCTCTCTCTCTCTCTCTCTCTCTCTCTCTCTCTCTCTCTCTCTCTCTCTCTCTCTCTCTCTCTCTCTCTCTCTCTCTCTCTCTCTCTCTCTCTCTCTCTCTCTCTCTCTCTCTCTCTCTCTCTCTCTCTCTCTCTCTCTCTCTCTCTCTCTCTCTCTCTCTCTCTCTCTCTCTCTCTCTCTCTCTCTCTCTCTCTCTCTCTCTCTCTCTCTCCTAGTAATGATCCTGTGTGGATCATTCAGCAAACCTGCATTACGCTGCAAGAATGCACCAGTCCCTGCTCAATACACAGTGTTTCGGTGAGTCCACTCCTCATTAACTGTTAGTTGATCTTGAGTTGGCTGTGGAAAATAGCCTAAACATGATAGCAAGGGTGTAGTACAAAGCAAAGAACGCTCAGTCAATGAACAACATTAGAACAAAACAAAGGGGAGGCGGTAGACAACACACGTACACCATGTACACGACTGGTAGATCTACTGTGGACTACCGCAAACGTTCAAAGGTAGATCTACAGTCATAATATTAGTATAGTGTTCAGTAGTGGGTGCTACTGCTAGCAAGACAGAACGCGGGAGGCAGGCGTGTTTGAACTGGTGGTAGGTCTACTGGGTAATACCACGCACGTCGGATGGCAGGGTGTTCCATAAAATGGACCCGCGAGCGGTTGAACGGTCATGGCCGGCTTTGGACGCAGATTCGGGCAACCGAAGACCCAAGCTGCGTTGCGCGCGCGTTGTGCGAGTACTGGGACGCTCCAGAAGGGCTTGCAGTGCATTGCTTGCCCGTCCATTCGACCAACGCCAGATCATAACAAGGGTATTTTGCTTGTGGACCTCTCAGATGCCATGCAGCTGCAGACGAGCAAGCAGAGGTTGGGCGCTTGTGCGAGGTGGCAGGCCGAATAAGGCGGGTGCCGCACGGTTTTGTTGGACCTTAAGGCGGCTCCGCTGGTCTTGTCGAAGGCAACCATGCAGAGAACGCCACGGACCCGGAGAGCAAATCTGGCATCACAACGGATTTCACGTACTGTTCTCTGGACCTTCTTGTAAGGCAACGGCGGACTCTCCAGAGTGCTCCCACCCTCTGGGAGACCTTCTTTACAGCATTGTTAACGTGCTCATCTATCGTGATGCCCAGGTACTTCGCATGGGGGACTACTGCCGTTCTGGTAGCGAGTTTCTACGGCATTTGACAGTAATGTCGTGGCCGGGAATTCGCAGGACATGGCTTTTGCTAGTGTTCAGGATTAGATTCCGTTCCTGGAGGTGGTTAGAAATCTCGGTTGTAGACTTTGTGGGAACTCACAATACTTCATGACAATCAGGGTGGCTGAACGTGCGAGCAATGTCGTCAGCAAACTGCACTGAGAGGGACGGGCTGGCAATGGTAGGCATATGCCCTGGTGTAGATGTTGAAAGGCACGGGTCCGAGAACGGAACCCTGCGGGACGCCACATGAGCATGTGCTACAGACACCAACGGATCCAACGATTTGCACTTGTTGGGTGCGTCCTTCTTCTTCTCAGTCTTCGGTAACTACAAGTCATAATAAAATGACTGTGAGACTGAGAGTACAGTGTACATGTAGTAGAAACTTAGATCAGTTTCTCCAGTTGCAAGGACTGGATAGCTTCTGATGGTTGTGTGAGAATTGCTTCCCTGACTGACGTGAAGGTACATAGACGTGTAGCTGCTCGACTGCTGTGTCTGGCAGGGCAAGCTAGCAGGAGGTGGGCATCATCATCAACTGTTCCAGGACAGTGAGTGCAATCGGGTGAAGGTGCCGCCTCAATCTGGAACAAGTACTTGTTCAGCAGGCTGCAGTGGCCAGTGAGGAGTTGATTGAGGATGGTGGTCTCATGCCGGGACGAAGGGCTGCGGAACTTGCTGGTGTTGAGCAATGGCCGGGGGTATGCGGTTGCAGACCGAATTGAAGCCTTGGCAGCTTGGATAGGTAGCTGAACCTGGGCCTGTACACACTGTGTTCCATTCCGCGCAAGGCGATCCGCCTTGTCATTGAGAGCAACACCGCAGTGGCTGCTGATCCAGACAAGGTTGATGGAATGCGCCTTCCGAGCAACCTCTGTCAGAGCATCGAACGCAGCGATGGTGTCTGGGCTGATCCTGTATGGGTCTCCACGGAGGGCATCTACGAGGGAGAGGCTGTCAGTGACCAGCACAACGTCCGTCTCCATGGTGGTAAGGTCGTAGACTGCCCTCAGGCCAGCTGCTGCTGCCGCTACTTCGGCAGTGAAGGATGTTGCGACAGCGCCAGCTGGTAGACACCCAGACAGTATCTCTGACCGCTGGGTTGCAGTGGTTTCCATGACAAGAAAACCACCTCCACCAGCGTTGGTGTCAGAGACACTGCCATCTGTCCAAAATGTCTAGACGCCGCGAGGAACAACAGGAGCGATAGGCTTCCTCCAGGCATGCTAGTGCCTCTACAAGTCGTACAGTAGGAGGGTCAGACCGGGTGCAAGCGAACTTGAAAACAGATAGGTTCGGAACGGAGGACCAGGGTGGAGGATGGGATGGCAAAGGTGCAGGGGATGGTGGAAGATGCCGCTCTGCCATTTGTCTCCATGTCTCCTTGGTGTTGTGGATCCGAACAGGGTATGTTGACTGCAACACGGCACTAGCTGGCGTAGGAGCACTATGGGGCTTCGCGATGTTAGCTATACAGGCCGCCTGGCGCGCGACTTACAGCTGGATAGTTGGTGCACCAGCTATTTCACGTAGTTGATTCGTAGGTGTTGTCTTCGTGCACCCAGTGGAGAGGTGGAGGCAGCTATTGTAGGCAACATCAAGATGATGCTGACCTTGCTTGGTGGCAAGACCATAGTAGGCTGGTGCCCCGTACAGACCAGAAGAGAGCACGTACTGGTTGACAAGCCGAGTGGTGTTTTGCTGATTGAGGCCCCAGCTATGGCCACTCGTAGCTCGCACGATTCGAAGGCGTTGTTCAATGCGACGGCGTGCAGCGAGGCACTGTTCCTTAAAACTCATCGTTGAGTTGACCAATATACCGAGGAAGCGAGCTGAATCAGCTGAAGGGATAGGTGTGCCGTTCAAGGTCTGCGGGATGGCAGCAAAGCGGATGGCATATGAAGTCGATATCACAACCTGCACAGATTTTGAGCCATTCAGGGTGATACAGCTGCGCCGGCAGAAGTCGGCAACATGGTTCAACAGATCCTGAGTGACAGATTGGAGAGCCTCGACCAGACGGCTGGAGACAGCAATAGCGATGTCGTCAGCATACAAGAAAGGCATAAAGTCCGCACAGTGCTTTGCTAGGTTGGGCAGCTTTAGGTCATCGAAGATGGGCGCCATATACAGAAGCCAAACGACGGGAGACATCGAGGAGCCTTGCGGGACACCACGGTGGATGGATCTCTTCTTGCTCACTGTAGACCCCCACTTGGTGTCAACTTCCCTGCCGCGAATGAAGGAATTGATCCACTTTGTGAGCCTGGCAGGCGGGTCCAATGCTCCAAGTCTGGAGCCGCCGATCTTCGATGGCAAGCCCTCGCAGTTCAAGGAGTGGGCTTTCTCCATTGAGCTGGCGATTCGGTCACTGGGAATCACCGACTCATCGGTGATGGTGGATTACGCAGCGGGCTCCCTGAGCGGCAACGCCAAGCTATGGCTCATCGCATCGTTGGATACGGGTGTGGAGTTCTCGACGTGGCCAGCGCTGCGTGAAGCCCTCGCCAAGGTGTACGGTCCGTTGCATCATCAAGAGCGGGTGCGACTGGATCTCTTCACTGTCAGGCAGCACTCAAGCTTGGAGAGCTATGTCACCGAGTTCTCACGTCTAAGCCTACAAGTGCCCGAGATCGACGAGTTGACCCGAGGACTGCTGTTCGTAAATGGACTGCACCCATCTGTCAAGACCCGGGTGCTGCGAGAGCACCCCACTGATCTGAGGCGTCACCTGAGTCGGCAGGGTGGATGCTTTGCTTGTCGGAAGCCAGGTCACCTAGCTCGGGATTGTCCCAGCAATCAACACCCAAACGCTGGTCGCCAGTGAAGAATGGCGTGCGCTCGCTGGCGACCAAGCGGAAAGCACCCAACGATTACCCGGTTGACATACGCAACCGTTACAGCGTACTAGAGCTGGAAGAACCGACGCTGCAAGCTGATTCGGAAGATGTTGCCGAACAGGAATCCCATGTCAGCAACGTTGATCTCGCAGTACAGGACACGGAGCTTCCTTTGGAGCATGACCTTCTCCGTGTTGAGGGCAGGATCAACGGCCGCCGGGCAATTATGCTTATTGACTCGGGATCGACGCACGACTTCATATCGGAAGCTTTCGTGCAAAGAAACGGCCTTGTTACGGAGAGCAAGGACGAAACACTGAAGGTAACCCTGGCTGATGGCTCATCGACATCATCGGGACTGCAGAGGACCGGTCCGGTAAAGGTTATCGTGAAAGACTTCAGCGACACCCAATCTTTCACAGTTTTTCCGTTGAGCCGCTATGATGCTATCCTGGGCAAGCCATGGCTGACCAGACACAATCCGGATATCAACTTTCAGACCAACGAAGTCAAACTGAACGGAGAGCCGCTCGTTGCTAAACCCCCTTCCGGCCAAAATAGTGATACGGAGCATCAGGAGTCGCCGCCAATTGAGAGCAT